GAAACGCTCTCATATACACTACTGAAAACGCTCTTCACCGCACACTACCTGAAACGCCTCTCCACCACCCATACCTGACTACACACTACTGACGTCTCTTATACATACTGTCTGACAGTGGCACTAGAGGCCAGAAGTAATGCCATCTAGATCATCTATCGCCCTCCTATAGACATGGAAGTACCTCCTCTCGTGAGGATTTATTTTATTCCGAGTCTCACTTGAGATATAATACCGCTACTACGATTTCAGTTATATAACGAGTATCAGTATCTATCAGAAACTATCAGTACATCCACGAATTCATTCCTCAAAAAGGCTGCCAGTTATCTATGAAGCCCACATTGTTTTCTTTGCATGTTAGGGAAACGCATTGCATTCACTGGATAAAAAAAAAAGCACTACCTGCTCAGCACCAAACTGCAGACGGACACAGTTAACGACTAGCTGGTGAACATAAAGAGTCAGCTACTTCCCTCAAGAGTTGGTGGAGACCAAAAACAGAGCTAAAACAGAGTGAATATTGGACTTAGGCCAGACCTACCACACGACTCCAAATGAATAATGTTGCTCCATATACCTGTTGGATGGTCTAAATAAGTAGCTGCTAACGAGTTCAACATACCAACTGCTGCCCCCCCCCCAGCAGCCAAAAAAATCTGTTGATGCAGGTTTAAAAATCCTGTTTCTGACATATTTGGCGGGACAAATAATTTAAATGTAATTTGATCATGTGAAAAGATAACCAAAGATTTTAGTTCAGACAAGTAAAATATCTTTTTTGAATTATCAAAAAATCCAATCCATGTAAACCCACACCGGTGTGCATTTGTCAGTGCTCAGAAATGGGAGTCCACCTGTTTGTTTTGTTATAGGTACATTTTACAGGTTTACACCAACTAATATATAAAATTTTGCTGATTTGTCAAAATCATGTCATGGTACAAATCAAACCCATTAGTGCTTTTTAAGCAGATTGTTATTATCATTGATTCTATGTCATATTGTGTGGACCAGGACCAGGAGAAATCACATATGACCCCCTCCTTATCAGGAACGTCCATACCTCAGAAAAAGGGTTTCTTAAATGTTAGTTTTGCTGGACCTGCTATGCCACAACAGAGTGTTGACACTTCGAGCCGTGGGTGGGTGCTCTTGATTTGTGCTTACCAGCAGGTTGCATGTTCCAACGTGGCAAGGCTAGGAAAACCTCTAAATGGAATACAGGCTGCAGGTATTATGCCACAGTCAATGAGTGACCCAGCAGCCAGCAGGAACAGCAGGGCCCTGTAGCTGGCATGGCATTAAGGTTATTAGCTTCACGTGTGATCTTGTGATTGACATGTGTTTCTACTGTGGTGAAAAACAGAGGACAAAGGACGTGGCTGATAAAGTCATTAGCCTTAGCACTAGCCACAATTTGATAGTTGTACATTCATTTTTCATTTTATTCTATGTATATATATAGTATTTTTTCATTACTGATGTGAACAAACATTTATTATAATAAAAAAATGTTACACCTGTACATCGAATGAGACTGAATTAGCACCTACAAGTTCAGGTGCTATTAGCTGTTTAGCTAACCTTGGCACATCTACATGTAGTTATAATGTCAAGTTTGGTAAATGTGCATTGCTTACTATTTCCTTCTTTATTGTATTATATTTGCTGGACAGTAAGTGTCACTGCCCACATACTTAAAGGTCCAGTGTGTAACATTTGGGAGGATCTAATGGCTTTTCCTTTTGTTTCCTTTGTTTGAGGTTTGACAGGCGCTATTTTAATGATGTCATCTAGTTGCGTCCCTTTTCTTCTGCAATGACATGTCGTTTTTTATATATCATTGCAAATGACCTTGCTTGTGAGGTTATGTTTGTTATGGTGACATCCAAGATTGAAATTACAGATGCTGTAATGACTTTCAGGTCTGGTTGATTAAATAATGCTGAGCACTTATTGCTCTCACTATAATGCATATCACAAGGTCCCATTGGCCATGAAGACACAAAATATTTGTATAATTCTAATACCTGAAAATCCTGCTCAGTGTTATTATTTGAGTCATTGTTGATTCCTGGACACAAAGATTGAATATTCAGTGGACCGTCTTTAGGGAGGCATCTGGGTCAGTGACCACAATAAATATGCTCCTAACTCTCACTGAGGATGGCCACACCGAGCACCAGATAAGTGGCTCACAGAACTGCTGGATTAGCTCCAGCTCTGCCAAAATGTCAGCAGTTATGCAGAAGAGGAAAGCAAACAAGGGAAAAACTGTTTAGCAAGAGCCATCTCGCTTTGTTTTTTACAGGCTTGAGTACAGAGACATACACTCAACATAACAAGCCTCTGCAGCTGTGTGATGTGCAAGTTTAATACAAAAAACCTTCTCAATGATCTGAAACAATAACAGCAAAAATCTGATGTTGGCGTCAGTCCCAAAGAAATAAAGAAAAACAACTTACTTACCATGTTGTTACCATGTAAAGATTAAATATGAAATATTAATTGCTGATGGCAGTTTGCTTTAGATTATTGTGTAGTCTGATACACTTTGTGGTCCCTTGGATTTATCAGGGTTGGATCATTCATTAAAGGTCCAGTGTGTAACATTTAGGAGGATCTATTGGCAGAAATGCAATATAATATTCATTGGTATGTTTTCATTCATGTATAATCACCTGAAAAAAAGAATTGTTGTGTTTTAGTTACCTTAGAATGAACCATTTTTATCTACAGAGGGA